CAAAATTTAGAATTTTTCTAAAAGAAGGAAAAATTTTTAAAAAATAATTAAAAAAAACTTTGTTCTTTCTTCTTAATAATAACATAAACATTTAGACGATAAAATTTTGTTTTCGTCAAGTTTGGCGTCTTTTTTTTTCAGACTATGCTTATTTTTTTTTATCTTTTGAAGGTTTTTATCTTAAATTGCTTATTTTACCTCACTTTTCTTTAAAATATTCTCTTCGTGTCCATGTTTTAAACAATGGCATTCTTAGAATCAATTTATAAATCTATATTTCTGTTGTTTTGTTTTTTAATTATCTGTAATGAAACTTCAGACATTAAATTTCTGGTGACTAAAACTCCTCGCTTTTCTTTATATCAGCACTCGTAGAACATTGCATAAAAAATTTTTTATGAAAATCGCATTTGAATTTCTTGTCGAAAATAAATCAACAATATTTATCAATTCGATCTAATTAGAACATTATTAAAACCTTTGTCTATAAATACATGAAAAAATATGAATTGTTTCACTTTTGAGAGTACAATGTTGAAATCTTCCATTGCAAAAAAATCAAAACAAATTTGGTTAAAAATGAAGCTCATTCTTTTATCAATACTTATTGTTTCCTGAAAATTCCGTTCCATCCCACGATTGGCGGTCAATTTTGGTTGAATAAAAGGATTATTGATTTTGTAAATATGAGTTCTTTCATTACATTTACGTTCATTTAACAATAAATGTACATTGTGGCCCAATAAAACAGATATAGATCTCCTCAATAGTGATTGCATTAAAAATAAATATTTAATTTAGAATTTACAATACATTTTCAAAAACAGATGACCTATTGATTTTTATCCATATTAGTTGATTTGAAATACTTTTCTAGCTTACGATCGATGTAAATTTAATTAGTTGATTAAAAGGTTAAAATATTTTTTTAATAAAAGTAATCGTCAATTCAATTTAAATTTCAATTTTGATAAATAAACGACCTATTTTTTTATTATTAATCTGTTTATTTTATGTAAAAATATTAGTCAATTTATTTTATATACTAATATTAGTCAGTTTATTTTATATATTACTGCAAATTACGGCGTACAAGTCGAGTTTTCAAACCTAAATAATGTGATCTGAGGCACTTTTTTTTTACAAAAATGATCAATGGAAAATGTCATGAATGCATTTCTGAGCTTAGGTTGGGACTCAGAAGGAAATTTGTATACAATACAAATCCAAGGAAATAATAATAATAATAATAATAATAATAATATTATTATTAATAATAAAGAACATGAAAGTAGTAAGCATTTTACTATTCAGTAACCCACTCCCGCATATGTGTACTTCCTTGAACATTAATACAAAAAATTGCTCTCACGAATACAGTCCCCATCTTTTGAAGGGCTTTATGTAAAATATGTGTGAGTTATTTTAATTGCTCTATGGAAAATGTCATGATGTTATTTTTGACCTTAGGTCTCTGGGCGGGACAGGAAGGATATGTTGACATACAATTTAAAATTAAAGGAAATAATAATAATAATAATAATAATAATACTAATAATAATAATCAATTTGTAGTACCGTAAATTTTGGTGCCCAAATCGAATCTTCAAGCCTAAAAATATTTATAAAACTAGTGATCGACTAATATGGCGGGTATAAAAGGCAAACCTTTACTACCGAGTTGTAAACAAATGCGACAGCAATTTCAATAATTAAACAAATTATTTACCATACGCCCAGCAAGAAAAGTTCGCAAATATATCCCACTAAAATCTGTGTTTGGTGAACATATCTAATATATTAACACAGAAATTAATATCAAATAATAATACAAATTCAGTAGTCCATTAACGCTAATACACACTAGTTATAACAATAAAAAATACGCTACCTACCGGTGTGTGTTTTAAATTATACAATGCATACAGAAATATAATAGGGTTAGTGCGTTAATATATATTTAAGTGGTGTGATATTCATTTAAATAATTTTGGTACAGGTTATCGTATGCTGTAGAACAGTGATTCTCAACCGCCTTGGCGCTGCAACTGAGTACAGTTAACGATTGTTTGTTAAAATTTGAAATATTGTCATAAAAACAAATAAAATATACAGTGGGGGAAAGAAATATTCACAACATAAAAAAAAATTTATTTATTGTATTTCCAACTAATGGATAAAAATAACTTTTCATGTAATTAATTTTAAACAGATGTATCTTAACTAAATATCTATAGAAAACAGAAAAAAATTGATTTAATATCTCCTTAAAAATCCCATTTATCCATTTTAATGGGTGAAAAAATATTCGTACAATAAAAAAAAAAATACATAATTCATTTAATACTTTGTAGAATAGCCATTATTCAATTTTACAGCAACCAACTTCCTTGTAGTTCTCAATTAATGACATGTAAAACTTAGTTGGTATTTTGTTCCATTCTTCTTCGCAGATGGTCTTCAGATCCGGGATGTTTGTCTGAGCTCTCGACTGCATTTGAATTTTCAAATAACGCCACAGATTCTCGATGGGGTTTTAATTTGGGGACTGATTTGGAGATTTCAGGATACTTACATTATTTTTAGCAAGCCATTTCTTCGTAAACTTTGCAGTGTACTTTAGGATCATTATCTTGCTGGAAGATCCAATCAGGAGGAAGTTCAAGATTTTCAAGCGAAATCATTAAATTTGCTTTCAAAATATTTGATATGCTGCGGTGTTTATTATACCGTCTATTACTGATATGTTGTCAGTAACTTTTGCAGAAAAAAATCCCCAAACCATGATGATGCCACCACCAAATTTCACTGTTGGAACTGTCTTTTGTTTGAAGGCATCGTGATTTTCCTCCTTATATGATTTCTAGAATTACGCCCCAAAAAACTCAATTTTGGTTTCATCTATCTATAATACTCTGTTCCAATACAATTTTTCCTTATCTTTATGTTCAAGAACGTATTTCAACCTGGCATCTCTGTATCTTTTTAATAGCACTGGAGTTTTCCGAGGGGAGAGAGACTTTATATTCTTTCTATGAATTTCATTGCTTATTGTCTGTTTAGTGACACAGATTCCTGATGAAAGCAAATCATCCTGCAACGCTTAACGAGTAACCATTGGATTTTGTTTAATTTGACGCATTATTTTCCTCGAAGATCTTGAAGAAATCTTCCGTGGAGCACCTGTTCTTTTTTGGTTTTCAACAGTTTTGTGTTTTTATATTCTTTGCAATAAATGAATTAATGGTAGTAAATGGAATATTCAATTCTTTTTTTTCTGAGATTTTCCTGTAACTTTTACCTTCTTTCCAGAGTTTAACAATCAATTCTTTTTTGCGAATTTATCAATTCTTTACCTCTTGCCATGATGTATTAAAAATACAATATCAGTTTTAAAATATTCTGAAATTTTGGGCTTTTTACAAATAATATTTTCTCATTGAAATGAATAAATAATTTATTTTATTATATTAAATTGTTTAATATTTTCAAATTTCTATTTGCATTTAGTTAATACTTTTTCAAGTTAATCATATGGAAAAATATGTTCATATTTCTTTTAAAAATAGAAAATTTCTAAAATCTCTGTGTACGAATTTTTTTTATTCTTATGTGTATATATATATATATATATATATATATATATATATGTATATTTTGTCATCTAATAAATTAAAATATATATATATAAAATATTTTTATTTACACACATATATATATATATTCATTAAATTATTTTATATATATATATATATACAAATACAAACAATTTTAAAATCACAAATATATATATATATATATATATAAATACTTTTTATAAAAATAAAAGCAAAAAAAAAAAATATTTTTAATTTAAAAGGTTTCTTTAAAATACATATAAAAAAAAGTAATGAAAATTCATTATGCTATATATATATATATATATATATATATATATATATATTAAAAATATTTTTTTTTGTAAAAACAAAATATATTTTTCACCCATCAAAATGGATAAATGGATTTATCTCTTTTAAATCAAATTTTTTCTGTTTTTCAAGCATGCATATTTAGTTATTATGTAAAATTTATTTGTTTAATTAAAGCTGAAAAATATGTTTATCCCATTGGAAATACAATAAATTAAAATTTGTACGTGTTCGAATATTTGTTTTCCTGCTTTACGTATGCGTTAAAAGTAGCAACGGTAATCACGTTAGTATTTGAATAAATGAATAAGTATTAAACTTTTTTTTTTTTAATTCTTTTTCACTATTTTTCGATTTGTATTACCTTCATTAAAGAAAAAAGATCTTATTATAAATCTCCATTTTTAAAAATGCTTTTTTCTTAAAACATCGATTATTATTTTTTCCGTCATTTATTAAAAAAAAAAAAATTATTTCTTCAAAAACACCTTTCAGAAATGTTCCTTTATTTTATTGACCTTTCATTTGAATATTTCGACCACCATTTCTTGTCCAAAATTACAAAAACTTTTTTAAGTTCTCATTGGTACATTTGGGATTTCAATACAAAAGAAATATCACACATTAACTAAAAAAGGCTATATCAGTTTTATTGAAATTTTCTGCTTCCTATTTACAAGTAATTAGGATTCTCAAACCTAAATAACATCAGAAATAAGAAGAAAGAAACGCTCAGCTGAAAGATACATTTGGATTTTAATAATTTGATATTCGAATAAGTATTGGAGAAATTGATTTTAAAAACACCTTATCCAAATTTCACTCAAATTTTTTCTTTTTAACATTGAATAGAAAATTCATTGAAATAAAGTAGATATTTGTGAAATTTTTTTTTTTTAAATCTATGGTTTTATATTTTTAAATTTTAAATATATAGCCTTTAAAAATTTTTATAATTTATAAATAAATATTTTCATTTACTTGAATTTTAATTTTTGCTTTCCATTCATGATGTAGCGTTATCATTTTGGAGAATAATAGGGCTAATAGATTAATTTACCTTGTGAGATCCGACGAAAAGAGACCAAAATGTCATCTATCTATCTATCTATCTATCTATCTAG